GGGTTAATGGAGGGTAGGGGATGGGGCATGAGATCATATGGGAATGGGATGGTTGAGTTGGGATAAGGACATAGTAGGAGAGCAAGGATAGAGATACTATGATAGAGGGAGACATCATGGGGATAAGGAGAAACTTGGAGTGAGGGAAGTTCCCAGGAATCCACAGGGACAACCCCAGCTTAGACTACTAGCAGTGGTAGAGGGGTGTCTGAGCTGGCTTACCCCAGTGATCAGATTGGTGAATGCCTTAACTGTCAACATAGAGCCTTCATCTAGTGACTGATGGAAGCAGAGATCCATAGCCAATTACCAGGCTGAGCATCAGAAGTCCAGTTGAATAGAGAGAAGAGGGATTCTATGAGCAAGGAGCATCAAGACCACGATGGGGAAACTTACATATATAACTAAACCAAGCTAGTGGGAGTTCATGAACTTTGGACTGACAACTGTAAAGCCTGCATTGATCTGGACTGTGCCCTCCACATGGCCGAGACAGTTGTATAGCTTGGTCTGTTTGAGGGCCCCTGACAGTAATAAGAGGATCTATCCCCAGTGCATGAACTGGCATTTTGGAGCTCATTTCCTATGGTGGAGCATCATGCACAGCTTTGATGCAGGAGGAGGGGCTTGGACCTGCCTCAGCTGAATGTTCTGGGCTTTGTTGACTCCCCATGGGAGGCTTACACCTTTTCTGAGGAGGGGCTAGGGAGGGCTGTGGGTGAAGGCTAGAAGGTTAATGGGAGGAAGTTTGAGGGGGGATCTGTGGTTAGTATGTGGAATGAATAAAATATTTCTTAATAAAAAGAAATAAAAATAATAATATCCAGGATAATATATCTCCACATATGGTCAGCAGCATTACCGTATCAGGCCTTGAGTATTTTAACATAGCCAAAGTATAAGAAACAAAAAAAAAAAAGAAAAAAGAAATGTAAAAACAGCATTTGTGAATATGATAGAGCTCCTTAAAGAGGAAATGAGTAAATACCTTAAAGAAATCTATAAAAGGTGTAAGGGTCTTATTAAATAAAAAACACAGAGCCAAATGCAGTTAAAAGCCCAAGGGGTCAGAGTAGTAGCCAAAAGTTGATACTAAAACCCTTTCTTACCCTTCACTGCCGCTGGCATCCTTCCCCTCAGGAAGATACCTACTTCCTGTGTATCTGTCTTTTTTTGACTTTCTGTTCTGCCTTCTCATTGGTTCTAAACCCAACCACACGACCTCCTTGTCACTGCCTGTCTATACAGACCTCCAGGTCTTCTATGGTTGGTATTGAGATTAAAGGTGTGTATCTCCATACTGGCTATATGCTTGAACACACAGAGATCTGTCTGTCATGTGATCGGGATTAAAGGTGTGTGCCACCACCGCCCTGCTTCTGCAATGGCTTGCTATTAGCTCTTACCCCCAGGCAACTTTATTTATTAACATACAAATAAAATCACATTTCAGTACGAATAAAATATCACCATATCTCCCCTTTTCTATTTTAATAAAAGGAAAAAAGTTATAAGTAATATAAGAAAAAACTATATACAAAAGTACAATAACTGTATACCACATATACAAGCAATAAATACCTAAACAATGTCTAGTCCATTTGTATTTGACAAATTCAGAGAAAATAATTCCATTATCTATCCTATTTTGGTAATTCCAAAATGTACCTGATTCACTTTCTATCCTAACTAATCTTCAACTATAACTCACTAATCTTCAACTCCCTCAGAGACCCAAGAAGGAAATAATATTACCTAACAAAAATAAAAACAGGGAGTGCATGCAAGTAACTTCCAAAAAAATGTAAGTTGACAGAAATAGCCAGCTGCCTGGACAGTCACCCAAGGTTTCTCCACAGCATTGGGGCATCATCTTCAGCCTATAGGCTTACCATATGTGACAGACTCATTTGTGAAGTAGGATGCACACAAGATCAACAGTTCGACCTCACATTGGGTGAGAGCAGTCCATGTACCAGAAACACCTGAATTCCACTAGTGTCATGTCATGATTCAGGATTTTAAATTCTGGAAATTGATGATTTTTTTTAATTCATCTGTTCATTCTTCTTAGCTGTGTGTGTGTGGCTTCATCTTGGCATCCTGTTCTTCTCCACATCCCTCTATTAAATGCCAGTCTACTATTGAGAGGTGTGAGCTTAGTTACTCTTCAAGAATAACTGTTTCAGCTGCTGTTCCACTGCACATCAGAAGCCATCAGTCCACTGCCTGTTCAGCTGCCTTCAAAGAAAAGGACACTGTACCTTTTCTAGATTTCAAAGGCCACTTCAGGGATAGTGCCATATTGTCCTGGCCTCAGAAGATGCCTTTTGTTAAAGCCACAACCACACTTGTTTTGGCAAGAATCGGTAGTCCTTTGTTTCGTGTCCTGTCTGTCCATTTTGTCCTGTTTGTCAGAAGTTGATTCGAGGATACTTTGTTGTCCAGTGGCTAACTTGTGCCACAATGAAAGTTAACTCCATATGCAGTTTCTTCAATGCCCATATTTTCTCTGAAGTAGATTGGTACTTAAAGGAGCTGACATGTCTCATAGTCATAACGAAAAGGAAAAATTTCCTAAGTTATTAAAACATTTTAAATGCCATATTCTGTAGATCTCTGAAGGGTTTGAAGATGACTGTCTATCTAAAATATATCTGCTCAATCTTAAAAACATACCTAATATGACTACAAGTTTGATTGTAATGTCTAACTACTAACTTTCATTTCTTTTTATCCTAACAGTTGGTAATAATAACATTCAAGGATCAGCAAATTGCATTACATTGTTAAATGAATGATATAAGTGCAATATCTTGAACAAGATTAGAAATATATGTATGGCATTTTCTAACAATATCAATCTCAATATATATAATTTGTATACAATGTAAAACAATCCAATCCAATGTAAAGTATTTAAAACTAGTAATTGTCTTTTTCCTTTTTTTTAAACAAGAACCTTAAATCTAATCTCCTTTGCTTAGACCTTATCCTAACCCTTAACAACAACTTGTAACCAATCCTCCTAAACAATGAAAGTTATCCCAGACCCCAAAACCCATTAAAAGACCAAAAACCACCCGCCCCACACCACCTCTTTGGAAGTGTGGGCATCGTATTCTTAAAATTGCTTCCAGCTGGGTATGGTCAAAGGTATCTTTATTCTGAAAAGAAAAATTTTGGGTTAATTGTCAAATTCTAGGAAAGGTAGCTGTATTCTTTCAAAGTTCAGGGTTTATCTCAAGTCCTTATTCAAATAGTCTTTGATACTGGATCATCTCAGCTAGCACTCTCAAAATTTCTCTGAGCACTTTGTAGTCCAAAGCTGATCTGTAGATGATGTTTGTCAGCTTAGTGGTATTATTATTGTCCATGTGGAATTGTTGTTGTTGTGGAGCCCCATATTCTTCCTGGAGACTTCAGTTGATGTTAGGCCTGGCCGTGATTTCCTGCAGAAAACTGATTGAACACAAAGACATGTTTAGGCATCTAATTGGAGCCTTTTTTTCTACTATTAGTTAGTACTCTATATAACCATTAATATCTTAACAAAGTTTAAAATGTATATATATATATAAATCTTGCAAATTTTGATATAAATTTCATACTTTAAGAAAGTTTAAAGAATCAGAATAGAATCAAAGAATTGAGATTAGTAGTAATAGAATAGCCCCTTAATTAATTTGGTTTTTCTCCTGTCCCATGTCAGAAGATGGCTCTTTCTTCTGGCATGATACAGGGAATTTGCATTTTCCTTTTAACAACGTGCTTGGGTTTAAAGAAGGAGAGGGGCATTCTCCAACTCCAAAGCCAGCTTTAATTTTTAATTGAACTGGGTCTACAAGAAGAACAATAGTGTTAAATGTCTTTAGAGAAGAGCATAAACAAACATTTAGGAAGACTTATGAAATTGTATAGATGATATACCAATAGAATATACCATTTTATTCTTTTTCTTGGGACATTTTTCTAGATGATTTGTCCTTTTTCTTCAGTTGTCTCATTTGTCCAGTGTTCTTCAGATTCCTTAGCCTTCATTCTTCTAAAGAACAAAAACAAAAACATTTCCCCAAGACTAATTTTGGGGAGGTTCCCTTTCAGCAAGTTATTATCTGATTAAATGAAAAGGCACGTGTTAATAGTATAAGTTAGTTTAAATTGGATGGTCATGCTGGTTGATGAACTATCACCTCCTCTAATTAAGAGGTCCCTCTTGTTCAAATCTAACCTTTATCAATTTTGATGGTAACCACAGCTTATCTCCTCCTGTAGAAACAAAAGCAAAACCTTGTCCTCAATGTGACATATATCTTGGTTTCCATTCTGAGGTCAGCACATCCTTAAAGTATATAGTATTTATAACTTATAAATTTATAATTTATAAATTCTGTAGTTTCTTCTATTATCCAGTGTCTCTCTGCAGCTGTTGCTCCTTTCTTATTAGCATTGAGGAAATTCAAAGTTAATAGAGCATTATGCAGTCTATTTCTGGGGGGGGGTTGTTACCCCTTTCTGTTTATTTAGAATATCCTTTAGATAGAAAGGAACTGAATTATAAGGACTTTGAACCACTTTACTTAAATTTTCAGGAGGTAGGTTTCTAAGAATACATTTAAATGTTTTGTTTGTTTAAATTTGGGCAATCACAAATATGTTATGTTAAACATATGGATGGGCAAATAATGACTGTCAAAGGCATTTGACCATAGTCTACAATTTTTTGTGGGGTCAATATTCCTTTTTAAAACATTTGGTGCTTAGGCACAAGGTTAACTATATAATAAAAACCTGAAATGTAACAGTAAATCAAATAGTTACAGTCCACAACTATTGTAACCACAATTGATTAGGTCAAGCCAACTTTAATCTCTTCTTAAAATTATTATTCTTACATGTAGACATACATAAAAATATATTAGTATAACATGTTGGGTTCATTTACTGTTGCTTGTATATATATCTTTTATAAATCACTATGATATAAATAGGATAATAGCATGTATACAATGTAGTATGTGTTCTGTAGTCATTAGAGAACATATGAGTCCTTTTCCATTTGTGTGTCTCACCTTTAAGTCACACTCTTTCTTGTTACATACATACGTACACACAAATATGCAAATAAAACCTGTTGAGTCTACTTAGTTTCAATTGTATGAATATGCTCTTGGAGCTGATCATTAGGTATTGGACATAACTGAAACATTCAATCATTTGGCTAATTAATGTCAAAATATTTCCTAAATGAGAGAAGCAATTTAAACTGCTCTTGCTGTTTTGTTTTTTTAATCTGCTCACATTTACTTTTACAATACAAAAGGGTTAGGATGATATTTCATTAAATTTATAATCTCCAGTAAATTCTTACATATATTGTCTCAATTATTGCTTCCTTTGTGAAATACGTGTGTATGGCATTCCCATTCATGTTCCACTGCTTCCTCTTAGTTCAGAAGATTTTGTCATGAAATTGCTAAAAATTCAACTCTATTCAATGAAATGTTTCATTAATATGTATAACTTGACTTTTCTTGTGTTTACATTTTTTATTTAAGAAATTTTATTATTCATTTTATGTGCCAGCACAGATCCCCACCTCATCTCTCCTCATGCTCCTCACCAGGCTCCCCCCACAAACCACCTCCTCTCCCCTCCTCCAAAAGGTAAGGCCTCCCATGGAATGTCAGCAAAGCTTAGTATATTCAGTTGAGGTGTGATCAAGCCCCTGTATGACTTGGTTTTAATTTCAATTTAATAGTGTGTCCATGTTTGAATTTTCTTTCTGAATGAGTGTGTCCATCACTACTGCTATCTTCCACTCATATCAGATACTACTTTTTTCCAGTCTTCAAGTAGAAACTGATAATATGTAAATATCTGAGATCTTAATCTTTCAATGCTATATTAGAACTGCTGAAGCATCTGACTCCCTGAATTAGTCAATTACTGATCTTTATGAATCTTTACTGTTCACATGACAATCATTTCACTATCATTTATTATGATATAAGTCAATCTAGTAAATCTTGTTATCCTCTATAGTATATTTTATATAATTTTAAAATGAATATATATTTTATTGCTTCTGTTCTGGAAGAGAACCATGCTGAATATATAAACTAGTTTTAACAGGAATTGTGTTTTCAATTAAAAATGCCATCATGATAAGAAAAATAGATATTAAATTAGATAAGAAACTGATTGAAAATGGTACTTATGAAACTTTGAAGGTAGATATGGTGGTACATGAATGTAATCCCAACAAATGAACAGTAGAGGTGAGAGATGGGAAGTTCAAGTTCATCTTTGGCTACATAAATGTTTGAAAACCCATTCTACATAACATTTTGTCACAAAGATTAAAATAAAAGACAGAAAATTAAAATTGTAATACAAAAATAAAAATTACAACACATAAATTCATGTGTATTTTCTGAAGTGAACACTGAACAATGAATATGGTAAAGAATTTTCATAGAAAGTGTATTTCTCAGGTGTAGCTCACTGATTACAAACAGTTATTATTTATAATTATATTTTTGATACTCTTACAAATATGGCATGTTTTATGGGTGGAGTAGAAATTAGATTTTCTGATGTCATTAAATGTGTGCTGATGCTTTTTGGTAACTACTGAGGAATATTTTAATATATTAGTGAGATCACTTGAGTCAGATATACAAGGTCTCAAACGGTGATGGGCAGGAATAATACCAAGAGTGGTGCAATATAGTGAACCCTCAGTGGGCTGAAATTTATCCTTAAAATTATTTGATTTATGGTCTTTAAGGACATGTGTTCCTGGGATGAGAACTGTAATGGCATAATTGTTTCTAATTAGAACTTTGGGAAATTTGGCCCCTGGAGATGCAGACATTATAGAATTTAGCCTATGATAGCCTCCTTCAACACACCTGACCAAGTCAGAAACAGATACCTATGGGTCCTCCCAGAAAAGATCCTACCTGACAAAGGAGAAAGGACTCAGTCTCTCTGCATTTTATAATGACGTATCTTCCAACTTTGATATCTAGGTAAGTTACTAGATGTAGTTGTTCTTTGACATCAGCAGGTCACCTAAAGTCTATTAATTAAAGTTTAGAAAGTCAGATTAGGTGTGATGCATCATCTCTTATTCATTTATGCTTAAATTCACCTTAATTCCTACATGTTGATTGCATACTTAAACCATCATTTCCAATGGTGTTTTGTGCCCTTGAATCCATCTCTGATGTTTACAATGATCAATATAGCAATGTTCCATTTCTGTCTATTGTCCTCACATTCCCAAATACATTACTTATTTCTGATGAATGTATGGTGACTTGTCTTCTTGGTAGGAAAAAACAAAAACAGCCCCTTTACAAAATGGCAGAAGACTAGACACTGAGAATTGAGATAGATAATCTTATTTCTTCCATTTCTTGTCTTGAAATAGCCTCAATATTTTCATTTCAGATTAATTTAAATATAAATAATTGAAATCTTTTTATATTCTACTTATAAAATAGGAATCAGTTGCAGGTATTAATTGAAAATGAATACAATAAAATTAATAACATATATAACAATATTCTTACTGTACAGGTAGGTTTCTCCTATCAATGATTTCCCCCATTCACAAAGTATGTGCTGAACTCTACATCACATTGAGAATATATGAGTCCGATGTTATATCATGGATATATATACCATAATCTCTTCGTCACCCCCTGAAGATAACTTCCACAGCTATACAGTGGGCATCTGTATTAGCACAGTGACTATCTTATAAATGAAGTGGATTCTATTTGTACAATAACATTTAACTATTATCGAAAAGATGTTTTTTAAAATCTACAGAACTATAAATACTTTAATCTCTTTGTTTGGAAGTTTATACACTTTATTCAAACATTTCTCTTGCATTTTCCCTTAAAACCAAAAAGCCATGTTTTCCTTACTTTATGGAAGAACTCCACAGAGCTAAACAGATAATTTGGTAGTAGCATTGCCTTACTTCTCCTAAAATTTCTTTCCAAAAATTATGAGTTGCGTTTCTATTTGGGAGTCTCATGAGTTTGAACTCTGTATATAACATTTTTAAATCTTTGCTTAGGTCTACCTGGAAAGTATTTCAATTATTGAACCTAACACAAAGGTTGTAAGTAGACCAACTTACAACAAACAGAAAATCTATAGATTTTACCCAGCAAAAAATATTAAAATTATAAATGTAAGTTGGAGATCTTAGTTATAATCCAAAAACGTTGTGGTGCATTATGTGTGCACCACATACATGAACAGACATTGGTTTAAAAAAAAGTCAACTGCACAGTCATATAATTAAAGTTATGACCCAGGCTCTTTCTTTTTTCTTTTTTCTTTTTTTTTTGCTGGTTGTTTTTTTTTTTTCTTATTATTAAGAGATTTTCTATTCGTTTTACATATCAACCACGGATTCCCCGTCCTTCCTTCTCCTTCCCCAAGCCTTCCTCCCCAACCCATCCCGCATTCCCACCTCCTCCAAGGCTAGGTCTGCCCTGGGGAGTCAGCAGAGCCTGGTACTTTCAGTTGAGGCAGGTTCAATCCCCTCCTCCCTGCACTAAGACTGAGCAAAGTGTATCAGCATATGCACTAGGTTCCAAAAAGCCAGCTCATGCACTAAGGACAGGTCCTGGTCTCACTGCCTTGGGAGCCCCTAAACAGTTCAAGCTACACAACTGTCTCACTTATCCATAGGGTCTAGTCCAGTTCCATGGGGGCTCCTCAACTATTGGTACACAGTTCATGTGTTTCCACTAGTTCGGCTAGTTGTCTCTGCACTTTTTCCAATCATGCTCTCGATATCTCTTGCTCACATAATATCTCCTCTCATCAATTGGACTCCTGGAGCTCTGCCTGACCCAGGCTCTTTCAATCAATGTCTGTTTGCTTCATATTAACAAGGAAATCTTAGATCTTCTAAACGCATTATAGGGTAAATGAGGTGAATACATGAAAAAATAATTTGACATGACATCATTATGTCTGAGAAGCTATCCAAATTAGGAGAAAAATTACATAACTTTGTACTCTTCTTTTTTTGATAGTGTACAGCATTGGGTATTTGTAATGCAAAAGTTATATGTATTGTATGTTGTTTAATCCTAGTGCTTAGAGCAATTCACCAAATTGAGTTAGTTTATAAAAATTAAGAAAGAGTGTGAAAAGAAATATTAGGGCATGATACAGGGAGAGACTAGCAGAAGAAAATATTGCAAAATTCATCAGACTTTAAAGTTCCCATGAAAAGAGTTTTTCTATGAATGTAAATTTTCTCAAAATTCAATATATATCAAAACCATCTGGAAGATGTTTTAAATCATAGACTTAAAACTCTAATATTAATAGTTTATAAGGAATACATTTGGAGAACAGACCTATGTTTCTAACATGCTCATATGTGCTGCTGCTTTTTATTTCCCTCTGTATTTCCAGCAGATTCACCTACAAAATGGAATCTAAAAACCAAACAGGTGTTTCAGAATTCTTTCTTATGGGAATAACAGATGATCTCACACTGCAACCCCTCATCTTCAGCCTGTTTACCTCCATGTACCTGATTACCATCTTAGCAAATGTGCTCATCATTCTGACTGTCAGCTCTGATTCCCATCTCCAAACACCCATGTATATTTTTCTCTCCAATTTGTCCTTTAATGACATCTGCTTAAGCACAACTATCATTCCAAAGATGTTGGTGAACATTCAGACACAGGATCAGAGCATCACATACACAGGCTGTCTCACTCAAATCTGTTTTATCTTGCTGTTTTGTAGTTTGGAAAGTTGTCTTCTTTCAGCAATGTCATATGACCGCTATGTAGCCATATGTCATCCCTTGACCTACACAACAATCATGAATCCTCAAACCTGTGGTCTGCTGATTCTACTTTCTCTTATCATTAGCCTTGTGAACACTGGACTGCTCGGTCTGATGGTGTTGCGGTTGTCCTTTTGCACAGACCTAGATATCCCTCTATTTTTCTGTGAACTAGCCCAAGTCATCAAGCTAGCCTGCTCTGACACCCTTATCAATTATGTTCTGATATATCTTGCAACAATCATACTTAATGGCATTCCAGTCTCTGGAATAATTTTCTCTTATACTCAAATTGTTTCTTCTGTTTTGAGAATATCCTCCATGAAAGGAAGGTATAAAGCCTTCTCTACCTGTGGTGCTCACCTGGCAGTGGTTTCCTTATTCTATGGTACAGCATTGGGTGTTTATATCAGCTCTTCATTCACCAGTTCAGTCACAAATACTGCATTGGCTTATGTGATGTGCACATTGGTCCCTCAAATGTTGAATCCCTTTATATATAGCTTGAGGAATAAAGACATTAATGTAGCCTTGAGGAAACACATTAGTACAGCAATGTGTCTTCTCTGATGTGTCAATTGCTATGGACTTTGTTTTCTGCAATAAGCCAAGATGGGAGTATTCCTAAGAAGAATAAAGTTTTATCTTTATATTATTGCAATCTTCTAAAATGTCCACGTGGCATACTATCTAAACCTATGTTCTCTGTTTTCTTCCTACTTTCTTTTGTTAGAACTCTAAATATCTCACTTTGACTATATGAAAACAATTTGCTTTTTTATGTCATAGAATAAATTATTATTTAGGGTGTATAGTTTTGGTAAAGTATCATAGATAAATATAGAAATATAAATGTATTGATAGGTAGGAATGAAGTAGAATAAATGAGATAATTTGATATTTCAAAATTATCATAAACATATTATGATAAATTGAGGTAAACTTGACACTTCAATATTTAACACTTATTACTTGCTTTGCCCTAAAATGTCAAACATTTATTTTGAACACCTAAAATTGTTACCAGCTGTCATCTTCTAATGATTCTATACAAAATAGACATTAAATCTCCCATCAACTGCATACAAAATTAATGTCAGTTTTTCCTCCATGTGATATATACCCATAGAACATTTGCCTTGACAATATCTGTATTTTGCTGCAGAAAATTTTGAAAAATATTGCTTTTCTTCAAAAATGGTCAAGCACATTTTCAATTTTTGTTTTCATTGCATTCCTCACTGCATTCTGAGTTGAAGATTAGATAGTTATAGTTATAGTTATAGTTATAGTTATAGTTATAGTTATAGTTATAGTTAAAGATTAGTTATAGTTTTCCTTGTTAAGAATTTTAGAAAAGAAACTCACTAAAGAGGTGTAAGTGTATAAATTTGAAAGACATTATAAGATAGTTCTCTGTTAGTAATACAAATTAGGATAGAAAGTGAATCAGGTACATTTTGGACGTACCAAAATAGGATAGATAATGGAATATTTTCTCTGAGTTTGTCAAATGCAAATGGATTAGACATTGTTTAGGTATTTATTGCTTGAATATATTGTATATAGTTATTGCACTTGTTGTATATAGCTTTTCTTATATTAGTTATAACTTTTTTCCTCTTTTTCTTTTTATTAGAATAGAAGGAGGAAATATGGAGATATTTTATTTGTGCTGAAATGTGATTTTGTTTGTATGTTAATAAAGTTGCCTAGGGATCAGAGCTAAGAGCAAGCCACTAAGCAGAAGTCTGGTAGTGGTAGCACATGCCCTTAATCTGATCACGTCAAGTAGAGTCTCTGTGTTTTCAAGGGCACAGCCAAGTGGTGACCCAAACCTTTAATCTCAGTACCAACCATAGAGACCTGGAGGTCTGTATAGACAGGCAGTGATGAGCAAGTCATGTGGTTGGGTTTACAGCCAATGAGAAGGCAGAACAGGAAGGCAATAAAAAGACAAGACACAGGAAGAAGGTCTTTCTCTCAGGGGAAGGATGGCAGCGAAAGTTAAGACAAGGTGGTCTTAGCTCTTGGCTACTGCTCAATCTCTGGGCTTTTAACTCTTTATTTGGCTCTGTGTTTCTTATTTAATAAGACGGTTTAGAATTACATCTACATTTGTCTGCTTGCCTTCACTCTCCCTGGCATGTTTAGCCATCTTGTTGCTGAGCCAGTCCTTTGCTGGTATGAGAATCTCTTATTCTGGATTCCAACCTAGACTGCAGTCTATCAGCTCTTTATCATTTTTTTTTTCTGTGCTGTGGAATGGTCTTTCTGTATGCTATGAGTATGTGCTGATCTCATTGGTTGACAAGTAAAGCTGTTTTGGCCTATACACAGGCAGAATAAGGCTAGGCAGGAAAACAAAAGGGAGATACAGGGGAAAGGAAGGCAGAGTTCAACAGATGCGATTCAGCTGCCAGGGGACAAGGTGTTATAGAACCAGTAAACCACGGGCCATGTGGCGATGCATAGATTAATAGAAATGAGTTAATTTAAATGTAAGTGCTAGCTAGTAATGAGCCTGAGCCATAGGCCAAACATTTATAATTAACATAAGCCACCTGTGTGGTAATTTGGGAAGTGGATGCCAGGTATTTGGGAGTTGCTGGCAGGATAGTAACTTCCATGTACATATGGTGGTCCAATGTGGGACATGAATTTCTACATAAAAACCGAGGAATCTTAAAAAAGGTTCTAAACACACAGATATGGAGACTCACTGGGCTTCCTAATCTCACAGTCTCATGCCAGCAGCAACACAGAGACACATCCCCCAGTTGCCATAAGTGAAGCAGTTTGACAGGTTTCCACAATCTCTCACATGGGCCTTGGTATAGAGAAGTGGTTCTCAGCTGCTGCCTTTAGACTTGAGCTTCGAGCACCAGCTTGTTGCATGACAGATTCAGAACTCTGCTCATGTAGACAGAAAAGGTTACAGATACACAGTAAAGACAGATTCAGACCCAAAAAAAGGTCCTTTGAAAGGGTTGCAATGTGTTTTTAAAAATGCATAGGCTTGGGAGAGAGACGAAAAACGGTAGATTAAATAATACTAAAATCCTCAGAAAAGGAATGGATTAATAAAAAAATATAGTAAACTACACAATATGGAAAATACAGAGTGTCTGAATTTTAATTTGATGTGTTGTCTTCGTATTTTTTAACTGTTAATGAGCAAACAATAACTACTAAGAGACCTTGGATTATGAACACTTCTATGTTAAACCTATCTATATATTTTAAAAATATCTTGACTCCAAAATTTGAGTCTGGGGATATGCTGCTTTGGGAAGGAGGTTCTGATTTTGTTTCTACAGAAGGTGAGAGGCTGTAGATTCTTTCTAGATTAAGAAAAATCAGGTTTGATCAAGGAAGACCCTGAAAAATCCTTACTACAGACATGAAAAAATAAACCTGAAATAACTACAAAACTTGTGATGTATATTTTACCTGCTCAAAAATAAAATAAAAAATTATCTTTGATTGACATGTGTATAATACACAGTTAATATTTATATTTATATTAATACCAATAAATATGTTACCTTTAAAAGTTTATGTATTTTCAGAACAAGGAGACCAGACACAAATAAAAAAAGATGACCCAGATGATCTAACATTTCAGTATACATTTATTACAGTTTTCTCTGAGTTCTGCATCCAAAATAGCTTTGAGGCTGCTGACTGAGATGGACCAGCCACAAAAAATACACTAGTCAGGACTTGACCATAGTTCTAAAATTTCTCAGGTTCCCATAAGATTACCAGTGTCCCCATTCAGCAAGAAGCAGTCTAGAGAACTATACCCCAATTCCCAAAATATTTTTTAAATATTTATTTTTTTATTTATTGAAGTATATAACCTAGTGATCTTATTTGTTAGCATATTCACAGAGTTATACAATCAACATCACAATCATTTCCAGACTATTTCATACCTCAAAATAAATCCTGTGCACTTTAAAATTTTCTTCATATTCCCCTATCTTGACAGCCTTGTGCAGTCATTGGTCTGCATTATGTCTTGATGGATTTGTTTTTTCTCTACTAACTTTTTTCTCAGTTCTTCTTTTATTAAGAAAATTTTTATTCATTTTACATACCAATCACATATTCTCCCCTTCCCTCCTCCTACCTCCCCAGCCCTCCCCTCCAAACCCACACCCCATTCCCTCCTACAAGAAGGTAAGGCCTCCCATGAACCCACTACCTATGGTGGGATACCTTGCACAGCCTTTAGGCAGGGACAGGGGCTTGGACCTGCCTCTACTGAATGTACCAGCCTCTGCTGACTCCCCAAAATATTATTTAAGAATGTTTGTTTTCATTTAAGGTGGTTGGTTAGAAATTGTTAATCTGAAATGCTAAATTTTACTATGTCAAAGTTAAAACCTTCCTTTTGATTAGACAAAAGGGGGAAATGCTATGGGATTGTCTTTCTTATGCTGTGAATATGCATTGTTCTCACTGGTTGATAATAAAAGTTGATTTAGCCTATAGCCAGGCAGAATAAGGCTGGGCAGAAAACCAAGAGGGAAATACACCAAAAAGAAGGGCAGATTTGAGCAGGTGTGATCCAGCTGCACAAGGAAGAAGATGTCAGGGAGCTGGTAATCCATGGGCCATGTGGCAATGCATAGATAAATAGAAGTGGATTAATTAAAATGAAAGAGCTAGTTAGTAATAAGCCTGAGCCATTGGCCAAACATTTACAAATAATATCATCCTCTTGTGTGGTAATTTGGGAAGTGGCTGCTGGATATTTGGGAGTTGCTGGCAGGACAGAAACTTCTACCTAAACTCCTGAGTACCTGCTGAAACATCCAGTCTTGTTGACTAAACAACTAAGAATCCTTCACTTTTCTAGTGTAGAGTAGTTATTATTGGAATACCCTGAGCCACAATATTTAAGCTACTCTAATCAGTTTCCCTTACACACACACACACACACACACACACACACACACACACACACACACACACACACACAAGTACATATACTTTATCCATTTTGTCTCTTCAAATAAGCATGATTAATTTGGGGTGTGAGCCAGAAAAATGTATAGAATTCAGATTACATCTGCTGTTTATAGAAAAGGAATCACCAAGTGAATTCTATATTGCATGAGGAGTTGTCTTTAATTATGTGAAGTTTTCAGTTTATATGGATAATAAAGTTTCTAATATATGAGGATCTTTGGATATTGAGGCCCTCAGGGAGATGAAAATATCATATCAGCATGGAATCTATACAACAACTCTGCACAAAAGAAGAAATATTTGGCACTCAGCAAATAGATGATCCTTTTTTACCAGCTCACTATTATCTCATTATTTCTCTGTACTTCCTGTGACTAAGTCTTCAATCTTCATTGCCCAAATGAATCCAGACTGAACAAAGAACCCCTTGATTAAAACTTAAAAATAAACAATGATGATTAGGTACACAAAATTTGGGGACTCAGTAAGAGGAGAACATGTATAAACTGTGAGTGGGTAGGACTGCAATGGGATTGAAAAAGGTTTTCCAAGCCCCGGTAAAGACTAAGATCATTATACATCATTTA